GTACACGATCCTTCATTCCTCCTCTCATCATCATGTCGGTCACGATTACGCGGACATCGACGTCGCCTCCGGTTATCTGAGCGACGGGGAGGTTCTTCGCGGTGGCATGACCGTCGGTAGCAGGACTCTGTCCGACTTGTGCGACGGATACATGTCCGAGGGCGGTGCTTCGCTGTACGCGCGTAGAATCAATCCGTCTTACGGTCATGATCACGAGAGGTAAGTAACTGCAAGGCAGCGGAGTAAGAGTGAACGTTGCGCTTTTCGTTGAAATAGAAAAAGATAAAGAACGATATATATCTTGTCCACGAATATTTGAAACACTTTTTTTTACGACAATATCGATCGAGCGAAATGTACCATTTAATGTTATTTTATTTTATTACGTTCCTTGAGAAAGGGAAGAGGAAAGAAGTAATATTGAAAAAGAAAATAAACGAATATTTAGAACATTTTTTTTTTCTAGTCCATGCAGAGAATATCGAATAAAATTTAATGTTATTTTATTTTATTACGTTCCTTGAGAAAGGGAAGGGAAAAGAAATAATATTGAGAAAGAAAATGAACGAATATTTGGAACAACAACAATTTTTTTTTTTTCACGACAATATCGATTGAGCGAAATTTACGATTTAATGTTATTTTATTATGCTCTTCTCTGTAGAGAAACGAAGGGAAAAGAAGTAATATTGAAAAAGAAAATGAACGATACATTTCTTATCTACGAATATTTGGAACAACAAATATTTTTTTTTCCACGAAATTATCGATCGAGCGAAATTTAATTATTTTATTATGCTGTTTATTATCATTAGTTATTTTATTATGCTATTCTCTGAGAAAAGGAAAAGAAGTAATATTGAGAAAGAAAATGGACGAATATTTGGAACAACAAATATTTTTTTTTCACGAGATTATCGATCGAGCGAAATTTACGACTTAATTTTATTTTATTATGCTGTTTATTATTATTAGTTATTTTATTATGCTATTCTCCGAGAAAGGGAAGGGAAAAGAAGTAATATTGAGAAAGAAAGTGGACGAATATTTGGAACAACAAATATTTTTTTTTTTTCCACTAGATTATCGATCGAGCGAAATTTACGATTTAATGTTATTTTATTATGCTATGCTCTGTAGAGAAGAAACGAAAAAGAAGTGATATTGATTCAATTGTTTGGAAGAGGTTTGAAATTCGGTGGAAAGCTTCAAAGGGACACCGAGTTACATTATGCGTGTTTTCGTTCGTGTTTATTTCTACCGGGGCATCGTGTTGCTTCTTGGTGCACGTGTTTCAGTGACGCGTTGAATGAGTCACACCAGTCCTCTCGCGAAACGCAAAATGTAAGTTGCCAGATTTGTCAACACACACGATGCGCGAATTCTAACTTGTTCCCCCTCGATTAAAATTGTGCCTAGTTTTCCTTTTTACTTTTGATTTAATTCAATTTCTTAAAAATAACATTTTCTTTTCCTTTATATAAAAATAAAAATTGAAGAATTCGCTGCAACTTTCTCTTAAAAATATATTAAATAAAATATAATAAAATATAAATATAATAAATATAATAAATTAAATAAAATAAAAAATATATTAAAAATAAATTAAAAAATTAAAATAAGTTAAAGTTAAAAATAAATCTCTATCGAAACGCGATTCCTTTTTAAATCCGATTCGACTCGAACTGAAGATCGATCCGATCCTTACGCGAGAATAAAATTTTGAATTTTTAGTTTTCAAATGTAAGAGAGGTATCGCCACTTGATCAACTTATTTTAACGTGAATCACTTTGCGAAGTTGAGTCGTCTGAATCAGACTTAATACGGCATCCACCAAGTAGTCATCCTCTCACCGACGGCCTTTAATTAGACGAAATTTGCAGGGCTAATTTCGTACGAGCTTCCAATTACATGCTCGGTTCTACTCGACTTAGTATTTTTGCTCACGTGCCTCGATTTAATTAAACAAACTTGCTCGGATGTCTTATTCCTCCCTCTACCTCTCATCTTTTCCATTTTCTTCCTCTTTCTGAATTCGCTCAGAAGACTCGCTAATTTCGCTCGTTAATTCGACGTAATAATTTCATATATTTTTTTTTTCAAGATTTAAAAATTTTTTAACAATAATTTAATAAAATTTTTTAAGTATAAATATAAATACGATAATAAGGGAGGATTTGGACCGTGAAATTTGATCGAGATCCGGGGGTTGGGAGGGAAGATAGGAATGGGGTCAGTGGTGATCATCTCGATTAGATTCACCGCATTGGGTTTGGATTCGTCTCGGTCGGATAGAATCTCGTTTGAGCGTTCGATTATTCAATCTCATTTGATTTCCTTCGAACGTGTCGTCCATCCAAAGAGTATTGGACGGATGACAATAATTCATCGCGAGTGCCCTACATAGACGATGGAAGAAAAGTGGAACTTTCGAATGCACGTACACCAAGATTATACCGATAGTTCGAAAGGAGATGTTAATTAACGGTTTGTAAAATGTTCCATAATAAGAGGAGCTATGAAACGCGTTAAGATGTTGAAACAGGTGATCGAAATTCATTCACCTCCGTCGTTTCGATCATATCGTTTACCTTCTCGTCAATTTCCACTGATGTTCTCCGTGTCTTCTTCTTTAGAATTCGAATCGAAGACAAATTTGCAAAGTATCGATAAACCCGAGAAATGTTTGTACGCTACTCGAGCTAAACGAGTCTCGAGTGTTGATCGTGTATTCAGCCAGGAAAGTCGACTCTGAGTTATTTGTTCGAGCTGCAATTGTATCCTTTCTTTCTTCAAAGATCTCCATATTACGAGTAAGGAGATGACAATAATATAGAAAAAAAAAAGGAGAAAAAAGAATTCGTGAAAAGCGCAAAAAATTCGAGTGGATTATCCCTATTATATCGAGGAATGGGTCGAATTTAGAGAGAGTTCGTTCCTCGCATCCTCTCGTGCCAATTTACCCTCTCTACAGATATTCGAAACCTCGACACGATCCAAGCACTTGTACGGCTATGCAATACCCGGCGCAACGTAAACGAGGAAGAACACGTTCATTTTCCGATAACGGGATGGATAAAGAAATTTGCCAAATACGGATATATTTGTTCCTCACCGAGCGGGACAAAGCGCTCCTTAACTTTGATCCACCGAACGAGCGAGTTAATCGTTGAACGAGCAAAGTATAACGGTGCGTTTTGTAATAGGCGAAATAGCCGGGGGCGTATCATGGAGCATGGTTCAGGGTCGCTAACTCGTTTGGCGCAAGCAAGCCGCTCGTATCATCCTTGCCGCTGAAACCCAACGCGCTTTTCGGAAATTCAATATACTCGCCCCCGTCTTTTGCCCCAAACCCCTCTCTATCCCCTTCCTCCTCCATCATCCTGGACCCCATGAAAGCAGGGCGAGGGGCCACAACAAAGAACGCGAGTCCTCGCAGCATATTCCTTAGATTACGCACGAATCCTCGAGCAAGAACGCTGGAAAACGCTTTATTCGATATCCCTATTCCCCCCTCTCTCGAGCTCCACGATATCGCTATGTTCTATTCTCCTAGACAGTTTTCAA